CTGAAGATCTACCCGAATTAATCAGCCAACGAAGGCGTTGGTTAAATGGAACTTTCTTTGCTAGTTTTTATGCTATTACGCACTTTTATTACATTTTTAGAAGTGATCATTCCTACTTTCGTATTCTCTTATTTTGTATTGAGATGATTTACCAAGCAATTAATCTTCTTTTTTCATGGTTTGCCTTGGTAACTTTTTTTTTATAACTTTTATTTTCTTTGTTTATATTCTGTTTATATTCTGCTTATAATTGATTTTATTATTTTTAGGGAAATTGTTACTTGATCTTTTATATTTTAAGTTATACTTTTCAAAATGATGCCAAAAACCGAGCGGATTATGAACATACTAAGTTACCTACTACTGTATATACAATATATTATATACTATATTATGACTTTGAATAATAGTTCTGTACCGTATTTAATTATTATTTGGCCTTCCATTATATCCTCAGTTACATCAATTACCAAATATATATTTATGGCTCTGGATTATATTTATTATGGATTAATTATCATACAATTCATCATTTCCATGGGTAATAGACCACAAGGGTGATTATTATTTTATATCACTAATTCACTAACTATTAATCAAAATTTATATGCACACTTTTTTTAATATATATATTTTTTATGAAATTATTGATAGTTCTAAATGGATCCATACGATTTCAGCGGTATTATTTAGTATTATCATGGCTTATTTGATGTTTACAGGTGTTTGGCTCACAGTTATTGCCATTCGAGAAAATAAACCTGATAGTTTTAGTTTATACATTTTATTTGAGAACTTCTACTTTGCTAGTATTATCATTTCCTTAATTGCCACATATGGCATATATTTAATTTCAAGTATTATGATGCTTGATCCTTGGCATATGTTTACTTGTATTATACAATATACTTTGTTAATACCATTTTACATTAATATTTTAAATGTTTATGCTTTCTGCAATATTCACGATGTCAGGTAAAGTCATTGTTCATTTATCTTTTTTTTTTTTTTTTTAATAATGTTTAAATTATAGTTTATTTTTTTTAATAATTTTTTAAATTCTAATTTATTTTTAATTTGTTTTTAATTTTTTTTAACTTATGTGATTTATAGTTGGGGAACTAAAGGTCCTGCAGTTCGCGCAAATAATGCCATTTTTGTGCAAGATGAAACGGGAATTATTAAAGCACAAGTTACAGTCCCTGATGAGAATATTGTTAGACGAGCACATAATGAAGCTTATAATGAAATACGTAGAAAAGAGTATGAGGTAAAGCGAAAGAGCAGAAAAGACAAACAAGAAGATTCTCAAAAAGCTTTTCGAACATTGGTTTTGTTTTTATGGATTTTTACCAATGCTTTATTAATAATTGCTATCAGAGGTGATATTTTGGAGCAAATTATGTATAGAGAAACACCTCATGAAGAAATACCTCATGAAGGAACACATGAAATACCTCATGAAAGGGTACATGAAGTAAATCAAGATTCAAGATTTAAAGCTTATGTGATATTTATTTTCTGGTCTGTCACTGGACTAACCGCTTTTAGATTTTTGGGTAACTTTGCATATATAATTTCTAGATTTGTTTCTAGTTTATTGTGTTGTTTTTAATGTTTAAATGACAGTATATTGTGACATTGAACAATCGTAATTTAGTTACATATATCAAATTTTTTTAATTTTACTACTACATAATATTTTTCTATTTGTTTAACAGTAAGCATTAGGACAATTTTATATTTTATACGTACCAAATTTGGTTTAGAAACATGTACTGTACTACAATGAAGATTGTCTACTATGTTTCCTCGAGTAGGATTAATATTAATATAGCCGGTGTTACTATTGAAAAATTTTAATTTCTGCGCCCCGACCGTGTAGAAGATTCCGGCGCCTGCTTTTTCTTTTTTTGTGTTTATTGTTATGATTATTCCTGTTATTCTTATTATTAAATTATCTCTGTTACTTAATAGCCTTATCGCATAATATTATCATTGTTATTATTACTTTCCTGTTATCCCTATATCCGTATTATAGTTATTCCATAATTAGTTAGTCCATCTTATGATTATCGTTGTATTATTATAGTGAGATCGCTGTACCCCGGTAAATGTTTAAGTGTAGATCCACACTAATAGATTATTTCACGGTATTTCCTAATTGGTTTGACTATTGATTTCCTTAATAGTCAAACGACACATTGTACGTGTTGCAGGGCAAGATGTTGTGATGTAAAACATGACGCGTGTTTGTTGAAGGCGTCAAGAAGTCGAATCTTGTTATGGGAATAGTTTCAATAAGTTCATTGAGGCAAGGCGTCGTTGTTATTTATCTCAGGCGTTTAGCATCATTGAGGGATCAAGGAATCGGCGTTGAAAAGGATAAATCCACAGTGGAAGGAAACACCGATAGTTACCTTGAGTAAATAGCCTGTACGAATTTCAAATGTATTTAAAGACCTGTTATTTGCTTGAATAAAGTTTTCTCAGACTTCGATCTCCCTGATATTTGAATAAACAGTTTTATATTGTATTTTCCCTTGCATTATTGTATTATCGTGAATACATCTTCACGGTATTACTAATATTATATATCCCGGTACCCATATCGTGAATACATCTTCACGATCATATTTATTTATTTATTGGAACTTATAATTATTATTACAATACTACGTCACATACACTCGAGGACATTGATGTCCGTGAGCTTACATAATCAATACCTAAAATACTAAACAGTCACCTATCGTTGTACCTTTCACGTTCTATTTTATCGCTACATTCTACCCGATATCCCTTTTCGTTCACTATCGCTGATCTAGACTCGGCCACTTGCTGACGCTCTCCCAACTTTCGATAGTAACACCGGCTTTAATTCTAATTGGTCAATTGCTAAATGTATTATTACATATTATATTATATTATTGAATTAGCAGCCATAAAAATGAATTATCAAAGAATGTGATATATAAATTCGGAAACTACCTTTTATACACTAGCATATCAAATTAATTCAGAGAACGATTAATTAATCTAGAAGTTAGCAATAAGATGCACTTTTTGTCTTATAGGTTAAGATAATTCAGCAATCAGTAAGGTCATTTGTATCTTGGCTAATAAATGTTAAGTTTTTTAAAAAAGACTTAAAAAATAGCAATTCAAACAACAATATTGACAGTTAGTTTTTTTAATATTTTTTCTTAATATAGGTTATTTGACAAAGTTTTTACAATATATAAATATAGAATATACATAGAACACGTATGATTACATGTTATATTCTATAGTTATTCTATAGTTAGTTTTTGGTTTTCATACTCTCTATGTAAGTGTGCTACTCTTATTGATAGTTGACGGCTCTTTTAATTTATTTATGCATATATTATTCATTCTTTAGCTCCTTGTTAAACTATGTAGGTTTTGCACCTTCAACCATTTCATGACGAAAAATAACTTCAAGACTTTATATCATTTAATGATAAGAGGTAAAGTTGCAATAATTACAAATTTAAATGATTTAAATGACAAATTCAGTTAAATAATAACTCACGTTCTAGGCATGCTTCC